CAGCTGGAGAAAGCGCAGCACGTTGAGCTGGAAGCGGCCCGAGAGCAAGCCGCAGTCCCGGGGCAGGCCCCGCCGGGCTGGGGGCTGCACATGGCAAACAGCGGGTCCCACGGAGCCTCCCCGCTGGGTATCAAGTGCTTTGAATCCGCTCTTGTAACTACTAGGAGCCTGTCCCCATGGACACTAGTGAAGCAGTCCTGGTCTCCCATGAAGAGGGCTCCCTGCCTTGCCTCAACCCAGCGGTTCTCAGTCCGCAGAGGGAGGTGCCCTGAGATCCTTTCAAGGGCCCCGAGCCATGCAATATTAGGCGCGCAAGTGGGATCCTCAAGATACACCCGAACATTTCAAATGCCAATGCATACCCTTCAAGACATGCTGCCCTGTTGTGGTCTCCCCCTAGTGCTTTGCAACAGAAGAATTGCTCTAGTGGTTTGCTGTAATCCCCCCCATTAAAAAAATAGTGAAAATGAAGAGCTGGTGTTTTGCCAGAGGTACCTTCCCTCTAAAGAGGTTGAGAGCCACTGTCTTCAGCACCCTGGCAGCTAATTGATCACTTGTCTTCTGCTGAAAGAACTGAAGAGCCCTTAGTTATGTAACAAACCTGCTTTCCAACTAACTGCACAAGATAAGGGGAGATTAGATGTCAAGAAGTACTTGGGTCAGTGACTTTCTATAAAACAGCAGTTTCCCCCCCCCCCCCCCCAAGAGAAAATTCTGGTTTTTTGGAAGAAAAAGGAGCAACAGCATTCAAACTGGGCCTGTGTGACTCCAAACTTTCATTTTCAAGAGCCTGAAGTTTAGTAATCCTCTGATTTAGCCCTCAGCACAGGAAAACTGCCAGTAGTAAACAAACCTTTTAAAATCTTATTTAAATTCACTTGAAACCTTTAAAGTCTGTTAAACTCACTTTTAGGCAGATTAAAGCAGCCAGAGTTTCCTGAAAACCTAATAAAAAATATAATCTTGGAACAATGGAGTCCCAGTGTCTGGGAATAAACCAGTGCCCAAAAGGTCACTTCATATACCAGAGAATGAAGGGCTGGTTCTAAGACACTGGGGGCTTAAATAGGTGAAATCCTGGCTCCACTAAAGCCAGTGGTAAAACTTTTATTGGTTGCACTTGTGGCTCATTCCCAGGTGTTTATCATCATCCTGCAGCTGGCTCCATGAGGCAAACTCCCTGCAAAGTGCGGCTGGCTTTCATGGTGGTTCACCCTTTCAGAGCTCTGTCAAGTCTGTGTAGAATACTAATTTTTTTTTTAAGTTAATATAATGTTGGTATTTTAGGGCAAGTTCCCACTAGCTCTCTGTCTTCCATCCTTTTTCTACTAAGGTACTTAGAGATTTTTACTCCACTATAGGAAATGCCCCCCCCCCCCCCCCAAATCCAAGGGTGTCTAAATCTCCACCTCTTCCCCTTCTGCTAGTTGAGCGATGTGCAAGATTAGAGAATTTTAAGGATGTCTCCATATTCAGAAAGGCCAAAGCCACCTCTTCCCTAAACTGACTGTGGCAGCCAGCAACCGTGGAGTCCTCTGAAAAAATAAACTTTAAAAATTCTGACTGTTCCACTGATACCTTCAAAAACATCTAGGTACAAATAACACCTCAGAACAGTCACAACTTTGATGCGTTTTTCTTCATTAACTCTGGTTTGCTCTCTTTGACAGATGGAATAGACTCCTTTTGTTTAAAAGCTGATTTGCCTATGGAAATACCTGAGACATGATGATCAGATAGTTGCTGCTGTAGTTAAAAGTCAGTAGAAGTAGGCTGTCATTTCCCTAGCTTCAAAATTCTGACCTTTCATGGAGTTTCTCCCTGGTTAAAAACATTTAGTTTTACAAAAATAAAAAGTTCCAATCTCTGTCACTCCACATACCATCGTATACAGTGTACTCACTTAAATACATATTGGGTAGGTCCATAATACACTTACCTATGTAACACAATGCGAAGCCAGCTGGTTAGCTATTGCTTACATGGGTAAGAAACAGCTGTTTATCTGTATATTGGTTAATCACTTAAGTGCAAAGCATCTTTTGGCATTCTGGTCCACCAGTAATTTAATTTTACTCTGTGTAATTGGCAAAATTAATCAATTTCAAAGCTGCTAAAACAGCATTGAGCAGACTCCATTCTGGCAATGTCAAGGCTTTTTGAGGCATGAGGCACTCTTGACAATAAACTAAGGAGTCTGAAGGAGGCAAAAACCAGTTTAGCTCAAGCTGTTTCTGATGTTATTGAGGGTTGTTTTTTGGGTTGTGGGGAGGGGGGGGCAGTTGTTTGTTTGTTTGGTTGTTTTTTGAAGTCCAGTTCTGAGCTTTTGCATTTAAACAGAGTGTACCATGGTATTCCAGATTACTACCCCCTCTATGCTGTAAGATATTTCCAGAAACAGTCCTTCATTTGTTTCAAGTTGTTATATGTGTGTTTGAACAAAAGAACTTCAATACAATTGGAGTGGTCTAATCTGTTTTATTAAACTGACTATTTATAGTTTGAGTTTATGAAGAGAGTCTCAAACAGAACCAAAGCTACTGTTGAACCCTCTCTTTTAGTCAAGCCAAGTTAGTTTTATTGACATGGCATATACCTTTTGCCTGGTTTCCTCAGGTAAGCACATGCACCATAAGCCATCCTTAGCAGTCTCCATCCAGACTGAGATGTTTTGTGGCCCTGATCCTATTAACATATCTGGGCATAACATCATATATCATCCTAATTTCAATAAAACTATTCACTTGAATAAAGTTCAACACAGACCATCATTGCCAGATAAAGGCCTTAACTTCAGATTTTTCCTTGATTAAAGTCCAAGCATATCATTACTTCAATATAACTTGTATATAAATATTTTTGTTTAAAAAAAAAAAAAAAATCCTTGAGATTGCAATGCTTCTTCCGAGACATCACACAAATCCCTGGGAAATCTAGTTAACTGCAATTGTTACACTTCTTTTCTCGGGAAGACAATAGCTTCTATGAAGTAACAATTTCATTGGCATCATTGAATTTATAACAGCTTTGAGTTGAACACTGCTGTCATCTGTTATGCCAATGCATGCTTAATCCACAAATTATTACCTGATCTTCTATAATTGCTTCTCTGTTGTGTCAACACATACTCAGAGCATTTGAACTGTAAACAAAGGACAATAGATTTGTTGCTTGAAAAATCCTTGTAGGAAGCCCGCATTGACCTAATTCCCTGTTCATCCCAGTAGTCTCATAGACTGTGTATGAATAAAAGGCTGCAGGACCAGGTCCCATATTCCAGATGACTCTTCTAAGACAAATTACTAAATTGTGTTTCTTATACAGGTTTCCCTCACCAACCACAGAGGTAAGGTTCCTGAAAGTTCCTGTGGCTGGCAAAACCGTGGTTGGCAAAACCTGCAGGGCTGGGGGAGCAAGGGCTGTGGGTAGAGGGTGAGGGGCACCAGCAAGGCTGTGCAGGGGGAGTGAGAAGCATGAGCAGGGCCGAGGGGGGGCCATGCGTGGTATTTTTAGACTGTACCTCACCTTCTCTGAAGTGTGGATACTAAAAACTAGTTAGCAAAACCGTGGTTGGCAAGGGAAACCTGTATACATATTGTAGACTATGTTTGTGTCTTAAAAATACCAATAAAAGCCTATCAAATTACATGGATTCCTGAAAATAGAATTTTTTTTCAAAAGTGTTTTAAAAAATGTTTGTTAAAATTTTGTAAGTACATTTCAGTTAAGTACACATTTTACAATCCATTATAAACCCACAGAGTAAGGCTTATAATAAAAATATCAACATCCTTCTTTATAGCCATGCTACCAAGCACCACTGCAAAAATTACCTTTTCAAAATAAGGCTAAAACAATTGCTTATAAATTTGGGCCTTGATCCTGCAAGTACTTGTATATAACAACATTTAGTCATATTCAGTTAACTTAAAGGGTCAAAATTCAGCTCAGCTATAAGCAGTGGTACCTCAACTGCAGTCTAAGTTCCACAGGGGGCTGAATTAAGCTTCCGGTTAACTCAAAAACAAGTCTTCATGTCTCATATTTCTTCTAATCGTAAAATTCTAATAAAAGAACCTATTCAATCTTAACCATTGCAATATTATGGATTGGGCACAGTTAAAAGGAGAGAGAGGGAAAAATAACAAGAAAAAGAAAATTTGAACAGGGCAGAATTTAGTTCATTGCTTGACACTGTAGGATTCTTTCATACTATGTATTTTCTTTTTAAAAATTCCACATAGTTCAAAATGACCCAAAGTGATGGTACTTCTACCAGTTCCCCTTGGGAGAGTATTCCAAAGTTAGACCTTATTGTGAGGAAATCTTTCCTGATATAATGAAGCTCAAGTTTTTTCCAGGCTTTGACAGAAATAACATTTCTCATGACTCAGTTCATTTCCCTTCTAGATCTATAT